CCGGGCCCCGCCGCGGGGCATCATGGGAGAGGGGATCTCCGCCAGCTCCCGCTCCCGCAAACCCTCCCGTACACGCCCCGGAAAGCACCTGACCCTGACGGGTTGGGCAATCAGGTGTAAACAGGCATCCAATCAAGGACTTGGGATGTCCTAAAGCTGGGGAGCGCGCGCTCCCGCGCGCACACATTCTTACCCTGAGGGTTCACGTGAGCTCACCTTCTCGACCCGGTACTTTTTACGGTAAAACTAAAAGAGGAGGTAGTTATCCAGCTCCCATCCTGAAAAAGGTCCACGGGTTTCTGACACCTCGACCATTTTCTTACACTGTAAAAAAGTAAACTAAATGGAGGGGGAAGGGGAGTGCCCGCCACCACCAAGCCGGCCGCTGCAATGCGAAATGTGCTTTGAAACTCACCCTAACACTTGCCCGCCCTCCCCACCGGTCACCGGAGCGGGAGCGCTGAGCACGCTTCCCCTGGACCGACCGCCCCCTCCACACCAAGGACTTCACTAATCATCCGATGCGACCCTGAAGCAGTTACCTCGAGAAGAGGTAAGGAGCGTGATGCCCGTCAAAGAGATAACAAGATAGTGAAAAGGATCTTAAGCCTCATCTGCACTGAAGGCTTTAACTCATGTTGCAAGAAGGCTGCACTGCTTGTGTAATTTAAAACTGTTACCAAAAGTACTTAAAGACTAGGAAACGGTGTTTACCTCCGCGCACAGCTCTTCAACCTTGGGCCCTTGCTTACACCTACCAACCCCTCCCTGGCATCATCATGCCAGTTCTAAGGGATGGAAAGTTAGAGTTTCAAAAAAAATGTACATTCCCTGTTCCCCCCACCCCGTTCAGGGGAAAAGAAACTGCTAACTGGAGCTGATATTTAACGCGACACAGAAATTCCCACTAGGTCAGACCCAAGCACGGTTACCCACATGTGATAAAAAATAATAAGACTCCTGTGTTAAGGGGGATATAGTCCATCGGCACCACATTTCATCCTGAAATCTGCTTAAGATTCCCCCCCACCAGAGCCCCCCCCAAAACACACTTGTCCACCTCCGTCTTAATGAGGGGAAACTATGAAGAAGGATCTTCCATTTGTCAGAGGTCCCACAAGAGGTGAACTTTCTTCCCTGCTTATCATTTCCTCTTCCCTCTCCTGTGAAGAGGAAAAGTCTCCTCCTATTCAGTCCCAAGATTAGGGTCCCCTCAGTCAGCAAGGTCTTCTCTGGGAATCTGTTATTCCTGTGACAAGGCATTTTTGTTTTGTCTGTCTGTAATGAATGTTTAATTACTTGAGCAATAATCGACACTTTTTCCTAGTATTTATCTTTAGTGTACAGTCAGCGTAATCATGATTTATTCTTTCATTAAACACCACTAACTATTGAACAGCTAAGCAAGCAGTTGGGGACAAGGACAGACAGAGATCAAGGCTCAATCTCCCGCCCTCCAGCAACTTTGGGAGTAGGGGTCAGAAAGATAAGTCTATTAGAAGTGACTGAAATATTCATGTTTGCTCAGCCTCCACCCTGCAAGGGTGTCCTGCTATCTGACTGGGAACACCCCATCTCTCAAAAAATGTCTTTATTGTAAGTTCTGAGTTTCCTTGTACTGTTTTCCTCAGGTCTTTTACATTTTATAGTCCATATGAGTAGCTCCACGTGAGTTGATGCTCCCCTCCTGGTAGGGATCCTTACATCCACAGGCAAAGAACTGATGTGGCCAATTCATAATCATTTGACTTTCTTGAATAGTCAGTTGTCACAATGGTGCAGTGATGCAATTATGTCAGTTATTCCAGTGCCACAACGATTCACGGCAGAATACCAGACCCTTAGATCCTAGAGAAAAATTTGAGAAGTCCTTTCCCCTTTCTAAATTACAGAGCCACAGAAGAATAATTTAAGGAAGGGCTCTGGGTTCAAATTCTAATTCTTCCACCTAGAAGGTGAGTTTGGTCAGACAGACCCCTGCTTCCCACCATGCCCTGGCTTCTCATATACCCAATGCAGCTAGTAATAGTAGTGCTGACCTCTTAAGGATATTGAAGAGTCATAAAGATATCCCATGCAAAGTGCTTTGCACAATGCCCACCATACAATAAGCAATCAATAAGTGTTAGCCAAAAATCTCTGAAACAAGTGGGTATTTGGATAATATTTGACCAATGAAGGGTGGGGGGAGGAGTAGCTGGCAGTACTTGTGCCTAGCTGCTCAAACAATTGCCTCTTATTTTTCACTATTTTTGTACTTTTCCCATAGAAATAATTAACCCTCCAAAACAGTGTTGGCAAAGGGGCGATGTGAGGACACAAAGGTGGGTGAGTGTTATTTTGGCAGCCACTTCCTAGAAAGCAATTTAAGAGTGTGTAGCCAAAGACTTAAAATTAGTAATACCCTTCCTCCCATAAATTCCACTACTGGGAATCTATCCTAAGGAAATTTGCCATGCTGCAGCCAGAATGATTTTCTTAAAATGAAAATCAGATCATGTCACCTTTCTGCTTAAAAACCCAGCAATGTTTTCCCATTCTTAGGATAAAATCCAGACTCCTCATTAGTAAGAAGCTACAAAAGTCTGTAAAAGCTGGTTTCTCCTCCATCTCAAACATCGCCAGGGGAGCTTTTAACCAGAACTTGATCCACCAGGTCATTCTCATCTTGTCTCCACAGTCAAAATCCCCATGGCTAGGGTGTACCCCGGACTGATTAAATCAGAACCTCTGCACCAGCCCAGTCATTGGTATTTTTTCAGGTTCTCCCAAGGGATTCTAATGTGCAGCCATGATATAGAAACATGGCTTTCAAGCCCCAAAGAGAAAGTAATTGGTACCCCCTCCATCTCACCTCCTATCTTATGTGGGTTATACAGGCAATTCTAAATCGCTGTGAAAAAAAATAATTGAAAGCCCACTTTTTCCCATGGCAACTATTCAGACACTTTAAAACACACGAATACATACATACATACATACATATATATGTGTGTACGTGTGTGTATGTGTGTGTATTTTATATATATATATATGTATATATATATATACTCATGACCAACACTCAAAACTTTTAAAAGGTTTTTTCTTGTCTCTCTTAGTGGTTCTGCTTCCCTGATTCCATTGGGCTTCTCCACTCCCCTCCAGTTAGAGGAACCAGTTTTCTGTTCCTGAAACACACCAAGTTTCTCCAGCCTCCAGGCTTTTGTACATGCTGTTCCCTGTACCTGAAATGCTTGCCCCACGTTGTGTCTTTCAACCTAGGGTCTTCAATTTAAGGAGGTACTCACTTTCAGCCTCTGCCTCAGCCTAGTCCTGGTTATGTTTTCCATGGCCCTGTGCATCTCTTCTGAGAGGTTTAGACTGGCCTCCTTGCCTACAAAAGTTGGCTAGTGCCCTTTCCACATACTGCCACACACCCTCTCTTTCCTCAGAAGCAACTACCACTCTGGGCAAACAGTAGGTTTTGTTTTGTTTTGTTTTGTTTTGTTTTTGCACATTTATTTCCCACCTCTTTTCTTAAGATACAGCTTTTGCAATGTGGATGCAAACTCCACATCTGACCCAATACTGCCCCCTCCACCCCCAACACACAGCACAGCACCTGGCCATATCAAGCCCTGAATAAATAGTTTTTAATGGAAGGAATGGAAAGTCTTATTAAATATGTGCCAAGATTGATACAAAAATATGAGTCTCAGTTTTGATTATCATTAATAGCCCCAGAATGAGACCTTATCTCAATGCCCAACTTTAGAAACCTATTAAAATTACATAGGTAGTTGAAATTTTCTGCAGTCATTCAAAATTATATTGATAAAGAATTTTTCATAAAATAAGGAAAATATTAGAGTTGCGGTTTAAGGAAAAACTCCCAGAAGTGAATATCTGATGTGATCTCAACTCAATTTGAAAAGAAAAGGAAAGCTCTCATAACAACAAAGATTAGCAGAAAATATATTAAATTTACCTAGCATTAATGTCCTGTGATAAATGGCAATCGTGAGTGATTGCTAGTGTCCAAATTATTGTAGAATACAGAAGAGGTCCTCTATAATACCTGGTGGTGGTACAATAAAATTAAAAAACTAAAAGTGAGGGGTCTCCCTGGTGGCACAAGGAGTTAAGTGTTAGCACTATGAAGCTATCGGCAGCCACTGCAGCACGAGTTCTATCTCTGGTCAAGGAGCTGACCCACATGACACAGCGACCTCTCCTGTCTCGCCCACTGCTCCCCTCAGCAATGTGTTTCAGTAGATTCACCTGTTCTTCCCCCTACTCTGTCTCTGATGAATCCTCTCACCTACCTACCCCCAGGCACACACCACTGACCTATAAACCCTGTTCTTATATATACATAAATAAATAAACCTTGAAAAGTAAATAACTAACTGAAAGTAAGCATTTGATAAACATGTTGAATGAATGAACAAAGAAGGAATACTCGGGGCCACACAGACCAATAAACTTCAGCTAAGGTCTACAATCTTAGCTCTAATTATAGAGACCAACTCAGACTAATATTTATTGAGCACTTATTAATGCCAAGCACTGAGCCAAATGTTCTGTGTGGGTCACTTCCTGGAATGTTCCAAAACCATACTATGAGGTAGGTATCCAAGAGGCATTTTACAAATTGGAACTCTCATGCCAGCAGGAGCTGGGCAGCCTGCTAGATCACGCAGCTGGTAGCAGGCGGCACGGTCACAGGCAGGAACAGAAGGGACATTTGGTCCCGACCTCACATTCATCAAAGGCCTCAGATTTAGATCTTTGACGTTATTGCTCAATGAGGTTATACAG